TCAACATTTACTAAGCAATGTGTGCCGAGCTCTGTACTAGGGATTAAGACTGCAAAGAGAGAGACCCTGACTTTAAGATGCTCAGAGGCCAGTAAGCAAGACAGATAAGAATATTAACTATGATACCACAGTGTGAAAACATCAGACTAGAGGTATGTACAGGATGCTATGAGAACACATCAGAGGGGTACTGGGCCCAGCCTGGGAGAGAAGTTCAGACAGGCTTGAGTTGTTCTTGAAGGATGAGTAGGAATGAGTCAAATTACAAGGTGGCAGGAGGTGGGGTTTGGATTCCAGGAAATGGGAATAGTATTTTTAAAGACATGGGGCTGCCTCGTGGCCCAGAGGTTAAAGTTCCACATGTTCCACTTCAATGGCCCAGTTTTGTGGGGTGGGCTCCTGGGCACAGACCTACTCTACCCATCAGCCATGCTGCGGTGGCATCCCACATACAAAATAGAGGAAGATTGGCACAGATGTTAGCTCAGAGTGAATCTTTCTCACCAAAAAAAAAGACATAGAGACATGAAAAAATATGGTAACCAGGAAGCAGCAGATATTTCAGTGTGACTGGAGCAAAATGGGTGGGATTCTAGCAGGAAATAGACTGGAGAGAGAAAGGGGACATAGCATCGAGGACCTTGTGTATAATATTAACGTTTTTAACTTTATTCTGAAGTACTGAGGAGCAGTTGAACACTTTTTTCTTTTTAAATCAACTGTATTGAGGTGTATTTTACGTATAATAAAATGTACCCATTTTAAGCATGCAGTTTGATGACTGTTGACAGACATATATACCTGTGTAACCACAGCCCCAATTAAGATAGAATATCTCCATCTCTCCTAAAAGTTCCTTGTGCCCCTCTTCAGTCAACAGCCTCCCTGCTCCCAGCTCCAGGCAATCGCTGATCTGTTTTCAGTCACAATACATTAATCCTGTCTAGGCTAGAATTTCATGTTGCTAGAATTGTACTGAATGTTCTCTTTTTAAACTCAGTTTCTCTTGCTCAGTATAACGTCTCTGAGATTCATCCATGTTGTGGTGTGTATCAGAAGTTCATTCTTTTTCATTGCTCAAAAAGAGTCCATTTTCTGAGTATACTACAATTTGTTTATCTATTCACCTGTTGATGGACATTTTGGTTTCCAGTTTTGGACTATTATAAAGTTGCTCTGATCCTTTTTGTACAAATCTTTTTGTAGACATGAGTTTTTATTTCTCTTGGGTAAATAATTAGACAAACGTCTAACAAGCACATGAAAAGATGTTCAGCATGATTAGTCATCAAGAAATGCAAATTAAAACCACAATGAGATACCAGTAGACACCCTTTAGCATGGATAAAATGAAAAAGACTGACCACAACAAGTGCTGGTGAGGATGTGGAGGAACTGGAATTCTCATAGTCCTTGTGGGAAAGTGAAATGTTGTATCCACTTTGGAAAACAGTTTGGCAGTTTCTTATATACATAAACATTAACTCAGCAATCCCACTCCTGAGTTTTTAGCCATTAAATAATTTTAAGCAGGGCAGCAATATGAACAGATTTTGCTTTTAAAGGAATACTCTAGCAGCATTGAGGATGATAGATTCTATGTGTTTAGAGAGCCTTCATATAAAATAATTTTTATTGTTGAAAAATCATTCGTTATGTTTAAATATTGTACGTTGGTAATTATTGCCCTATTGTGGATAGTTAGGTAATGTTAAATGTTTCAATATTGGTTATAATTCTGAATAAACTTCTTCATGCACATAACAGTGTTGTTTCTGCTGAATTAGTTCCTTAAAATGAGCCCTTAGGATTATTTTAGTCAATGTTCATTGAGTCAATGTTCTTCAATATCTTTATGTTTTTTGCTGCCAAGTGACATTCTGACTGCCTAAGGATTGTGCCACTCAACACAAGCTATATATTGTTAGTTATTTGTCATAGATCGGGAAAGAGAAGCTCAGATAGATTATGTGAATGAACTAATGCAGGTAGAAAAATACAACAGAGTTTTGAACCAGTGTCCTTGATCTTTGCTTAGTCTAGGAGTTCTTTTTGATTCACACTTGCGCTCACTCAGATCGTTATCTGGAGAACCCCTACTCTGTGCTGTAGACTGCTATTACCAGGGATACAACGAGGAAAATGCATACTTCCTATTTCCAGAGAGCTAATGGTCTACTGCCCTTCCCAGAATCCCTCCTCTTTATCTCCCTGGCATGGATAAAAATCTCAGGTGAACAGACTGAACAACAAAAGAAGGAGAGAAAAAGTGTTAAAGTCATTTACTCGGTCGTAGCTTGGATACTAATTTTTGACCCAGCTTCCAGGACTGTGCTGTGAGATGTGAGGGAAGTGCATCCTGTGTTGTACAGGATATGGCTGGGTCAACCACGTGGGTGGAGGCCTGGGATTAAGAAACCCATCTCAGTGGGGAGTGACTACAGAGATTCAGTGTGAGTTTAAGAAGGAGAGAGTACACCGAGGTGCTCAGTGGGGAGAATGACAGCTTGGAGTAATAACTGAGGGAGTTTGATGGAAGCATTCTGAATTGAGTTCATTTTATTGTGAACGACTCACACTTCTTGAGTTCTTTCTGTGTGGTTGGCATTGTTCTAGGTGCTGGAAGAAAGTAGAAGAAAAAAGCTTTGGGGGCTGGAGATCAAGACGTTCCAGGAAACGTCTGGCACATATCAATGCACGTGAGGTAGGAGGCAGAGTGTGGAGGTGGTGGCGTTTCAGTTTAGTGTGCTCCAGCTCTCTCCCTCCTTCTTTCCCTCTGGATGCCCTTTTCTCTACCCTCTCCCCCACTGCCCCCTCCTGGACCTCCAGGTGCCAAGTTAGCACCGTCGTGTTAGCCCAGCCCCTAGAGGAGGCACCTTGCCCAGGCCTGCACACCTACTTCGGGATCGCAACCACAAATGCCTGCAGGTGCCAGCCAGGTCAGCCACGTGAGTAAAGAAGGATGTTGTGGGGAACCAGTGGTGGGGGCTGCAGAGGACCGGACAGCTGTTACTGCTCCGGGTGATTGATAATAATGATGCTAATGGGGGCTGGCCCCGTGGCCGATGCTGAGGCAGCGTCCCACATGCCACAACTAGAAGAACCCACACGGAAGAATACACAACTATGTACTGGGGGGCTTTGGGGAGAAAAAGGAAAAGAATAAAATCTTTAAAAAAAAAAAAATAATGATGCTAATGAAACAGGACATTGCAAGATGGCCCAAGGTTCCAGGAGGATGGGAAAACCAGTTTTTATTTGAAATCTCACTGTGTTTAAATATTGGAAATCCAGTTAATTTAATCATTTTGGACACCTTGTATTGACCAAATAAAAAAAGACTTTGGACTGAATTCTGCTGGGGGCCTCTCATATGTGCTTCTGTTCTAGGCAATGCCGCTTTCCTTTTTCTTTCTTCTCAAAGCCTGTCTCTCGTTCCTGGGATCTGCTCCCTTAGGACCCAGGGAGCTGACTGGTCAGCTAATTGATTTTCAAGGGTGATAATGGCTTAATAGTGACAAGTTTGCCTTTGCCTTCAGAGCCATCACCTGGAGGTTCTGGGACTGATGGAGAAAATTGAGGCCCTTGCAAGGTGCACGTGGTCATTGGGTGGGCTGGCCCTTTTGGTGCCAGCTTGCATCAAACTATTTGGGCAGCCTGTGGGTTCTGACCATGTCTAGGGTCAGCTCCCTCTTCAAGGGGTCTGGGGACACTCAAGGAATATTCATGAATGGGTTCACTTGGGCCAGGGGCTTGGAATGGAGAAGGGATGGCTCTGGTGGATGGTACCTATGGAAAGACGAGGGTGACTGACCCAGAAGCTCTCTCTGTGCAGCTTAGCTTTAGCACTAAGGTCCTACTGGATTGTCTGATTTGGTAGCCACTAGTCACATGTGGCTATTTAAATTTCAATTAATTAAAATAAAATAAAATTTAAAAAATATAGGTCTTCAGTTGCAGTAGCCACATTTCAAATGCTCAGTAGCTACATTGGGTTGGTGGCTACCATAATAGACAATGCAAATATGGAACATTTCCATCATCACAGAAAGTTCTATTGGACAGCATGGCTGGAACCCCAACCTTATGAGGAAATAGGTGTGGGAGTCAGACTGAGTTTTGGTCCTAGCCCAGCCACTCACTAGCTCTGAGATCTTGGGCAAATTATTTAATTCCTTGGGATCTTGATCCTGTTTCTTAATTGGTCAAATGGAAATGATAGCATGTTCCACAAGATTCCCTTGCGAATTACAGGAAAATACAAATATATTGGCATTACAGTGATTAATAAAGTTAATGAGGTCCACAACCTCCCAGCCAGAATGCTGTCCTGCATGAGGAGAAGAGCTGGGCCTTACACTTGGAAGGAGTCTTTGCTCCGCTCACTAGGGTCCCCAGTCTGGTTCTCAGGTTTTACTGTATTATTTTTGCTTATTAGCATAACTTCAGAAATATTACCTAGGAGCATATAGGCACAGAGGACAAGCAAGAAGGAGGAACTATGATGTGGATGCTCCCCCAAGAGTTGTGTAGTGCACTGTCTGTGCCACTGTCCCAGGCAGGTTTAGGGTTGAATATGCACTTAGGAACAGTGAAAAAAGGAAAACCTGAGAGGTCAGGTGAGCCTGGTTAACAGTGGACATTGGTAATACTGGAAAGCAATAAGGGACCAGATTTCTGCCTAACGTGGTAGGTACTCAAGAAACTCTGGTTTGGGGCCAGCTCCGTGGCCGAGTGATTAAGTTCGCGCGCTCCTCTGCAGTGGCCCAGGGTTCGGATCCTGGGTGCAGACATGGCACCGCTCGTCAGGCCATGTTGAGGTGGCGTCCCACATCCCACAACTAGAAGAACCTACAACTAAGATATACAACTGTGTATGGGGGTGGGGTTTTGGGCAGATAAAGCAGAAAAAAAAAGATTGGCAACAGTTGTTAGCCCAGGTGCCAATCCTTAAAAAAAAAAGGAAGATTGGCAACAGTTGTTAGCCCAGGTGCCAATCTTTAAAAAAAAAAAAAAGAAACTGGTTAAATGAATGAATGAATGAATCAACCATGCAGAGGGTAAAGGCCAACAGGCAGCTTCTGATGATGTTGGATACTCTGCTCATTTCCCCACCAGTGTAAAACCTTGAATTAATGGAGGAGGTGGTTGGGGTGGGGGCAGGATTAGCTTGTAAATAGGATGCAATAAATACAGGGGAGGTATAATAGCCTGTATTTATTGGGCATCAACTATATGCCAAGGATTCTTCATGTTTATCTCTACTCCTTATGAATACCCTGCAAGGTAGGTGTCTTTATCCCCATTTTACAGAAGAATGAGTTGCCCAGTGATGGCTTTATGCTACCATCAGTTGAAGATCCAAGATGGAAACCTAAAGTCCACATTTTTCCTGCTATGCCAAGCTACCCTTAAACAGGTAGTGTATTCTCTCTGAGCAGGCCTGTGTTGCCTGAGTTTTAATCCAAGACGTTGCAATAATCTCTCATCTTCAGGTGGACTCCTGACTTGGCTGATGCTCCTTTTGGTTTAGCTTTGTTGTTAAATTAGTCTGTTCCTGCACAGTACCACTTATATAAGGATTTCACAGCACATTACGATCAAGTGCCTTGAACATACAGTGGCAATGAAGTTGTTTCTCCCAGTTGAAGATGAAAAGACTGCAGCAGAAGGAAGTTATGTGACTCGTTAGAGAATGTAAAGGAGTGAGTCATTGATGGAGCGTGTATGGAAATGAGGCGTTTAGGAGACTGTTAGGGGAACTGATATGGATCCGGGACATACAATAGTAGGCATCTATTGCTGTAGTTGTGAAATTGTTTAATGCTTTTTGCTTCTTCAACTTCAATGCTTATAACTGTATGTCCCAGAATGCAACAAAGCAATGCCAAGAGACTGTAGACCACATGGAACACAGATGTCAATCACAGGTCATTCTGCCTACTAGAGATGAGTTTGTCTTTTTGTGAGGCTACTGGATCCTATTTGTGACCCATGTTTCTACTAACACTTTTGCGGACCCTCTATTTACAAGAGTCTCTACATGGTCAAGGGTGTGAGGAGGAGCGAGCAGTCAGAAAGGTGCAGAGGTCCTTCCTGGACCTTTCCTTTTACGTTTATTAGATGATATCTTTCATTTGCCACATCCTTCCAGCAGATGGGTGGATTACATCCTCCAGGTGAAAGATGAGAGCAGAAGAGCTAATTTGGCTGACTGCTACTTCCTATGGGACCTCAGGTCCTTGTAAGGGGCCCAGCTGCCCCAGTGGTCTATGGTCTCTGGAAAATGGAAATAGAAAAACATCCTGCCCCTACTTTTAACAAACTGTGGAGTTCCTGGCTTATTTTCTAAATCAACATGTTGGTGAATGTACTGATGGAGCTTGGGAGGTGGTGTAGTTTTGAGTGATGAAGTGTGGAAGTGTTTTGAGCCATGGTCACCTGTTAGGCTAGAATTCCCCATGGAGGCCCTCCTCTTTGTGACTTGTATACCTTTATTCTTCCCCCTCCAAACCCCAAATAGACACAGTAATAGAGAAACACCACTAGGCAGACTAATATCTGATAAGTGCTACCCTTATTATCCCAAATGACTTGAGAAAAGAAATTGAAGACATAGTGACTTTTCCATGAATATACTAAGAAGGATGAGGGAAGAGGCAGAGTTTGGTCCTTTTCTGGTCATAGGGAAGGAGAGAGATGGTATGTCTGAAATAATCCATTTTGCTTTTTCCATTTACTGCCTTAAAAAATAAAAGTAAAATATGAACCCACAGATGAGGAAGAGCTCGAGAAAAATAAATGAAATGCTGAGGAATTGGCATACCCCTCCCGAAGAAGGTAGGTTTGCCAGGAATTTTGTGGGGGAAAGAAGAAACAATGCAGTAATACCCATATGCATATCTGTGGAGGCAGGAAATGCTTTTTGAAAATTAAATTTCAAACAGACAGTGATGATTTTGATATTGAGACACTTGGACAGAGAAAACCCAGGACGAATTTCAAAATTTTGCTTTCTAATATTCATCTCCTTTCCTTCCAGGAAGCAAAATTTATGAACTTCAGAATTAAATTCAAAGGATATAGTACTTGGTATGCTGGAAATATTCGCTAGCAAATATGTCAGACTCTAATAAAGATGGGTCTGACATATTTCCATGGGAAAGAAAGGCATCTTGTCTTTTTTATTCTTTCAAATCAGGAATGTGAAATGCATTTCATTAACCCTGACGCATCAGGGGGCCCTCAGCTAACATATTTCATTCAGCAAAAGGGCACAATATACCTTTCTCTCCTATTGCCTGCTTGCTTTGAGAAATCTTTCTGCCCTTCACACACACATGAGAAGCACATCTGAAAGGTCTATAATTTTCCAAACTGTGTCCTCAACCAGGTGAATTGCACAAAGGATCACTCAATCCTTCCAACCGAGGAGAGAAACTGTGATTGGAAAGCTCCCTTCCCAAAGGTAGGCTGTGGAACGGAGGCTTGGGGAAGGTGGGTAGCTTTTGTTGGGACAAGTCATGGAAGCTTTGGGAGCCTTCTGCCCTGTGGTTGATGAAACTGTCATCTGAAATGCTATTCTTTTGACCAGGTGTGCCCCCTGAATTCTGGGATTGCATAATGTGAGTGCAAATGAAAGTCAAGTCAATGAAAGCAGTCAAGGAGGGACAAGAGAGGAGGGAGGGTATTTCCAGAGGAGATTTGAAATGAGATCCCGGGTTGATGAGGCAAAGACATACAGGATGGTTGTTCAAATGACAGGAGCTACAGAAGATGTGCCTCTGTGTTTGTCTTTATGAAGAGAGAAAAGCTTAAACGGACAGGAACACCAAATATTAAAAGTACTATATACAGCACAAAACATTGTTTTAAAATCTGAAAATGCTACAAGAACACAGATTTCACTTTAAATAATTTTGCTGAACATGATTTTCAAAAGTGAATGAGTAATTTTACATGGTATGGTGGTATAGTGGTTGAATTGTGGCCCCCAAAAAGAGTCTCCACGTTCTAACCCCCAGGACCTGTGAATGTGACCTTTTTGGGAAAAAGCATATTTACTAGTGTAATTAAGTTAAAGATATTTAGATGAGATCATCTTAGATTACCTGGGTGGGCCCTAAATCCATTGACAACTGTCCTTATAAGAGATAAAAGAGAAGACAGACACACAGAGCGAGAAGGTGTTGTGAAGAACGGGGCAGAGATTGGAGCGATGCAGCCACAGGGCAAGGAATGCCTGAAGCCACCAGCAGCTGGAAGAAGGATTCTCTCCTAGAGATTTCAGAGGGAGCATGCTCTGCAAACACTTTGATTTTGGACTTCTGGCCTCCAGAACTGTAAGAGAATAAAATTTCCTTGCCGTAAGCCACCCAGTTTGTGCTAATTTATTATGGCAGCCCTAGAAAACTAATGTGGGTGGTTTTAGCAGGGTCTTAGCATCCAGACAGACGTGGTTTTGAATCATGGTCGCTCCTTTTCCTAACCTTTTACAAATCCCTTAGCATCTCTAAATATTAGCTTCTGCCTCTGTGAAACTGGTAAGACAATAGTACCTACCTCATAGGCTGTGGAGAGCAAAGGAGTCAATGTGTGGAAAGGATGGAACACAGTCAAGGTCACATAGTAGGTACTCAGTAGAGGCAGCTGATGGTTATCTCTCTTTCTCCCAAACCATTTGCACTGGTGCTTACACATAACCCACCTGTGCTGGTTAGGAAGCCATGTTCTCTCATCTCCAAACCCGCACTCCTATACTGTGTTCTGTTGGGCTTGGGCTGGGACTTTGCTAACTCCATGTCTCCTTTGCCAATTACTGACACTACAGGAGGTAAGGTGCCACAAAGAGAGGAAGAAGGGACTTATCTTTTCTGTTTGCTTGCTTTTCCTGTCAGCATCACCCCAGCAGTGACCTCTCACCCTGGAAGCAGTATTAGTTCCAGTTGGTAGCAGTTTCCAGCCTCTTTCAATACTCCCAGTACCAGCTCCATCACAAGTGCTCTGAGGTACCAGCACCAGCTGGGCAGTGCTCCCTCCTCAGAAGTCTGAGTCCTATGTCTGAGGGCCCCTTCTGCAAGCCTCTAGGGTCTGCTGACCCCAGCCCCAGAGCTGTTTGTTAGCTACTTACAGTTACTGGCTTTTGTTACCTCCTGGTTCCCTGTTTGCCTTTTCAGCCTCCCTAATACCTGTTCAACCAATTCTCTATATTAAATTCTCTCTGTTAAAGTCACTAGTGAAGTTTCTGTTTTCTGACTGCACCCTGGTGAATACAACACTCTGTGGGTTTCTTGGTTTCCTATGTGTGTGGGAAATGGTTGGTGCAACTGAATGAGCACTGAATTAAAACCAGAAAGACTTAAGTTTGTATCTTGGCTCCTCTACTTTCCAGCTGAGAAATTTTGGCCAAAATACTTGGCTTCTTTGAGAGTCCAATTTTCTTATTTGTGAAATGGGATTAATAATGTGTATCTTGTAGAGTTATGTGTAGTTGAATGAGATAATGTCTAAAAAGTGCCTGGCACTTAACAGATGTTCAAGAGATGTTGGCTATCATTTTATGTGTGTTAGAAATATATCCTTGCATCTAGATATTGCTTATAGCTTCCTCTGCTTCTTACTGTTGAGCTTATGAACTCCTCTGGTCAAGCCTGGACTCTTATTTCAGCTTTCTTGGTTCGTTGAGGGTGTTTGCTCTAGATGAGAGGACTGCTGTTCTGTTGTATTAATTAGCTTGCCCCCAATTGACATAAGAATGAGGAAGTGACAGCTGTGAGTGTGAAAGGAGTTGGCTTTAAAATACACAATAAATTAGGCTGAAAAATAAGACCCCCATTGGGAAGCACCACTGGAATGGTTTTGATAGCCTGGAGTTCACCATTGCTCACTCAGCCCTCTTTCTCACATGGATGTGCTCCTGACTTTCAAAAGCACATCTGGTAAGAGCCTATGATGTCCCTGGGGGTGGTGGAATGTGAATTAAAAATTAAATGAATACAATTTGAGTGGGACTGTTTGCCTAAGACGTAGTCAAAACTCATTTGAAGCCACTTTCATATTTAAAAACTATTTCAGTGTCCAAGAATATGGTCTGCAAGTCACCAAACATTCTCTAGGCACCTGCTGTAGGTCAGGAAACATTCTGTAGGGGTGACCAGAATTAAAGGAAAACAAAAATTGTTGTCTTAGTTGGTATGGAATGTCCAGTATAGTAAGGAGACCAAACTGACAGGCCCAAACACAAATATAATATCTGCATATGCAATTCCTCTAGATACGAGAATTTTCTGGATCTCTCTGGAATATTTCTGAGCTGGCAGGTGCAGGACCTGGGGCATAGTTACCACCGTTGAGAAGTATTTTGCAGAGTCTATTGAGAATTATTTCCCCCATTCTCTCTTCCCAATCACCCTCATTTGACCCCCATGCTCTGACACTGTTGTCAGGCATCATCACATCAGCTCACAGGAGGCTTGATCCATTCCCTTGGCTCCCAGTTACTACCCCTTCTTGACCATCAAAATGTTTCATCCCTACTCTCTTAGGACCCTGCTTTCTTTCTATGAGAACATTCAGTCAGTCAGCTGTATAAACCACAGATAGCACCAGATACTTGGCTAGGCTTATTGACACAAAGGTACATGAACCATAGATCCTGACCTGAAGGAGTTTACAGTCTCAGTAGGAGAGATAGACAGGTGAACAATGTGTATATTAAATGCACAATGATTTTGGGTTCTAGGATGATGAAACACAGAGACGTCATGGCTATTCTAACAAAGGGTGAGAAGGGGTTTCATGGACACTTCAAAATGGATAGTAGTGCAATGCTATTAATTTTAGGGCCTATGAATTTGGAAGGTGAGGAAAGGGAGTTGCAGGTACTACAGCAGAATAGAGGACAGGCAAACCAAATGTACAAGTCTCGAAATACAGGAGCGTGGCGGCTTCTAACCCCAGAGACTGAAAGAGGGAGGAGGGCCATGCAGCGGGTAAAGGAGTTGGTTTGGGAGAAAACACAAGAAAAAGGGTTCTTGCTTTAGCTACCTTTGTTTCACACTTCACAGCCAGGTCCCTGATGTTTCAATCAGGTATTTCATTCTGCTTCCTCTAGTGTCCGTTTATCACAGACTTATCAACTATCGTGTTATGATTGTTGAAAAGGTGCTGCATTTGGAGAACGTGTTCAGGAGAAGCAACCAGGCCCCCTAACCGTCTCACCAGTCAGGATTCTGAAGAAAAGTCTACTGCGCTCCTCCCTACCTTCCCTCCCAGAAAACCAGTTCTGAAACATCCATTGGGCGTCAGCTGAAACATGGTTCCATGCTAGTCACAAAGAGGAATAACTAGTGCTTTTTAACAAACATTTGCTATTTTCCAAGCACGGTGCTAACTGCTTTGGAGGCAAATAAAAATAGAGCACAGTTCCTCCCATTAAGAGCTTGCAATTTTTGTTGGGAAGCAAGATTTATGCATGGATTTTTATATACTATAGTCATGGCCAAGAGAGAAGTATGCAGAGGATGTTTTAGGGGTACAGAGGAGCAGTGCTTCTGGAGCTCCTGGGAAGGCTTCAAGAATTGATGGAGGCTGAGCTGAGTGTTGAAGCGTGAATAAATGGTAGCTACATCCAAAAAAGATGGACAGAAATCCCAGGCTGAGGAAAGAGCATGAGCAAGAGCATGGAAACTTGAAACAACAGAACGCATGTTAGGAGCTACGAGTGCTTTAGCACAAATAGCGCGTAAAGTGTAAGACAAGAAGGGGAGGAGGGGAAACTAGAAGGGTGGAGGCTAGTTCATGCAGCAGGTGAAGCAAAGAGCTTAACTCTCTTCTGTCATGTTGGGAAGCCATAGAATGGTTTTATGTCAGGGTGACATGCTTAGATGTCTAATTGCAGAATCGAAGATGGATCTGAGAGGGGGGGTGGGTGTCAAGGCTGGAAGCAAGGAGTCAATTAGGAGTCTTGTTCCATAGTCCAGGTAAGAGATGCTGAGCTCCTGAGCTAGAAAAGGGGTGGTAGGGGGGAGTGGGGAGGAGGAAACAAGTCTAAGGGCCGCTTAGGAGACAAAAGAAGCAACTGGATTTAGTGAAGGAATGGCTAAAGGAGAGGAGATAAAGGAGAGGCAGGATGAATTAGGTTGAGGCTTGGCTGAATGGTTGCAAGGAGGTTTGATGAACTGAAATAGGAAATATAAGAGGAAGAACAGAATTCTAAGGAAGTGGGGGAGGGCTGTGGTTGCTTGAATATGAAGTGCTTGGAGGGCCTGAAAAAGGGTTTGCTCATCAGGGAGTTTGACATATAATCTGAAACTCCTAAGAGAGCTGGCGTGACTTGTAAGCATCATCAACAAGTGGGTGGGAAATGCAACTGTGACAGTGGCTGGAATCACCCATGAAGAGAAAAACAGGAGAGAGAAAGAAGAACACATTATCCTTCCTTTGAGGGGATATAGTCTATTGGAGGAGAAAGGCTTGTACACAAACAACTGTAATACAAGAAACCACGTCATAATTGCTGTAATTAAAGCAACTGCATTGTCTGGGTCAAATACTGGACGATGTGGTCTCACCACGATCTGATCACAGGCACAATTTTTGAAGGAGAGTTCTGTCAGAAATCCAGTTGCCTTAGTTCTGACAGAGGTACAAAGAGAAATGTTTTTAAGGTGCAGAGTAGGAAGAAATTTATGGAGAAAGAGGAATCTGAGTTTATCCCTGAAAGTGGACTTGGAAAGTCTCAACTCTACCTATATTTAATGTTGTTTTTGTTAAATACTGTGTCATCCTGGAGCCACTAAAAATAGTGCTGGCCTCGGGGGAAAAAAAAATTGAGTCCTGTTGCAAGCACAGACTGGCCAAATTCATAAGATAAGGTATGTTTTTGGGCTCCAGTTCTTTTCTGGACTTCTGGGTCCCTGTAATTTGTACAGCATCGTCATTGCCCACCCTGTGTCAACCCACAGAGACACACCCAAGGGATACAAGAATGAATTCCATTATTCACAAACGTGGTGGGGTCTCAGTTATGTTCAAACTGGAATTCAGAGTCTGTTTATCTATGGGAGAAGTGAGCTATTGACCGGTTAGCAGCCCACCCCCCATATCTGTTTCATGAGTGGTTTTCCGTGAATTTTTTTTTCCTGAAGGGTAATGGAGGAAGTTTAGTGCGCGAGCATCTTAGAGAGAGATGAGAGAAATATGGATGATAGAGAATTGCAACAATGTCTGTCTCTTCTGCTTGGTAATATGAGCCTCAATTTTTTATTATGAAAAATTTGAAATCCTCAGAAAGTCCCAAGAATAGTGTACCATATACTCTTCACTTGGATTCACCAATATTAACATTTTGTAACATTGGCT